TGACTTGAACTCCTTTGTTAGGTGATCAACACCCACCAGACAACCCTTGCCAGCAACAAACTTGCCCAAAAACCAACAACATTGGAATAGTTGTCAAGACTCTTGAAAATACATTTCTTAAGGTTATTTACTAATGTACAGACATTTTGGAATGCTTGCAAAATCACCTTTGATTCCTTCAGTAACTCTTTATGATCAACACAAAACTGTTTGAACTGGGAGACAGCATCAAAGAAGACAGCCCTTTTGGTTTCAATAAATTGCATAGCCAGAGTTTTACTGGACATCTTGGYGGATTCTTTGGGTTTAGGTTCAGATAGTAAAATTGTTGTCAATGCCAAGATATAGTAGAGTGAAATTTTTCTTGGTTATGAGATAATCCAGAGTAAAATACAGCATTTGCTTTCTTTTCCACAAAGCTGTACAAATCTGAGAATCAATTGCCTCCATGATCCTGGAAGGGAAAGAAGCAGCATCTTGATTACAACCTGTCTTGTTCAGCTGCTTCCTGTTTCCAATGTAATGTGATTGCTGTTGGCAGAAACACAACCATTGTGACTTAAATTGTAGGGGTGGAGCATGCCAAAAAAAGGGGTACAGAATATAAAAAAAAGGGACTAGTATAGGGCATGCAATGGATTGTGATCACTTTTTGTGATGAGCTTTCTGTATCAAATCTCTTCATCTCATCATTGTTCTGAAATCTATTCAAAAATCATGTCAAAATGGCAGCAGATATCAGTGGAGAGAGAGGCTTGGGGGGAAGGGGTTCTTCCCATCCTCCACCAGTATGAAGGGCAATGAGCTACCTTTGGAGACTAGTAGTAGTATGGTGAACTTGTATGTTGGTAGTGGTACCAGCAGTGGTACACCTTACAGGACCAAAGATGGGTGAGAGTCATGGCACAGCATTGTATGTTTGCAAATATGACAACCTTTCCAGAGTATGGCAGGGGGTTTCTTGTTGTGTTGATTTCTATTATTACTAGCAGTAGTTGGTACAAATGATACTAGGCATTGTTGCATGCTGTGGTGGATGGGAGCAAGGGTCCCAGGTGCATGCTGTGGTGGATGGGAACAAGGGTCCCATTACAAACATTTCATATGAATGGCAGTGATTCTCAGGTTGTGCAGAGAAAACTTGGACCTGAAAAGGAGATAAAAGGAAATAGGAAAGGATAAGAAAATGGGGGTGTCAAAGAAGGTGAAAACAGATGGCACAAAAGCACCAGCAACAGCAACAGGACAGGTTAGTACAGTTGTGGTGACAGTAATCCTGGGGAAAAAATTCAAATGTGAACAAGATGTTGCTCATAACTACTACCTTCCATAGTAAGTACATTGAATCAAAAGATTTTGTGACATGAATTTTGCATTATTTATGGATAAGATCAATCAACAAATGTGTGTGTGTAAACAGGCACCAGTGGAGGATGGGGGGTGAGCATGTGTCAAGTGTTCCGTGGTGAGACTAATGAACCTGCTTGGCTTATAATAGTCATGTTGATTTTCCTTCCTGGCACCAAAACAGATAACAGTAAAATAGTAGGAAAGGTCCCCAATGGGATATCCAGGAACAGTGGACATCTCTGATTGGAATCCCAAAGAGAAAGGAAAGAAAATCTTACACCTACTTCTTAACAGGGCACATAGAAGTGCAAACAATCAAGAGTTTTAATATTTTGGAACAATAATCTTCTTGGCATCTGTAAATGTCAGGAATACCAATTTTTATGGAAATCAGAATGTGTCAAGGGAATTGCTAACTGACATATTCAGGGCTGAGGGCAAGGCATTTGGTGCTCTCCTGATGCTGTTCAATGAACAAAATGAGTGGGAGTCATCCTTCCAGAGAAAGAAAGAATGGTTAGTTCAGCTAGAGCAAAAGCAATCCTACAATCCAAAAGCTGGAAGAAAAGGCAGGTGGGAC